TCGGTTTGTGAGAAAAAATGTAACCAAATTATAATACGAAAGTGATTGTAAAAACAAAAATGTATACATTCTAGAAATAAAATATGTGCAATCTCAATAAATTAAGAACATCAAAATCACTTTCAAATTTTTTCAATTAAGCGTTTGGTTTGTCATAAAATCGTAGACTGGGCCAGGTCTTAAAAAACTGGCCCACATGCTTGAAGTTTAAACCAATTATGATCGTAGATAAACCGTGGGTGAATCTTTGAATCGAAAACTAAACCAAATTAAACCGAATGGGTTTCAGATAAGTATATATATACATACAACTTGGAAACTGTAAACTCGAAATAAAAAGAGAGTGAAAATCAGAGGCCGAGGAATCAGCTAGTGGAGTCGGAGGAAACATTTGGCCGGGAAAAAAAATCTCCGACGACGTGTTATCTCGTCATTTTGATCTGCTAATTTGTGTAGGTACAGTACCTCTATCATACGAACGACTAAACTCGCTTCTTTATCCGAATTGTGCTTTGAGAATTTCGTTTCGTTTTGCTAGTTAGTGAACATGGATGAAAACGGAGAGACACGTTTTGGTGCGATAAGATTGGGTGATGAAGAAACAGGGGAAGTAGATAATCTGAGAAATTTGCCGGATTCTTTGCTATTTGAGATTCTCTTGAAAATTCCGACGAAAGATTTGGTAAAGACTAGTGTCTTATCGAAAAGTTGGAGATATCTGTGGAAATTCGTACCTGGATTGAATTTGAAGTCTAAACGCGATTTTACTGATTACAACGCATTTGTGAGTTTTGTAGAAGAGTTTTTGGGGTTTAACAGCGTCTTATGCATACAAAAAATGTCAAGTTAAAGTTCGAATATGAGAAGCCTGAAACTGTTCGTATCACTCGGTGGATTAACGAGGTTATCGAGCGGAAAGTTCAACATCTTTATGTTTCTGACGAAACTTGGTTTGGAGATGAATTGGGGATACCGATAACAGTTTACACTTGCAAGAGCTTGGTTTCCTTAAAGCTTTATGAAACGTCGTTGCCTAATCCCGACTTTGTTTCTTTACCTTGTCTCAAAGTTTTAGTTCTAGTTAAGGTTGGGATTGCCGACGACTTGCCTTTCGAAATGCTCATCTCGGGTTGTCCAGTTCTCGAAAGGTTAAATCTACAGAGGATTGTATGGAAGAATCCTCTTTTAAAAGTGTTATGTGTGTGCTCTCGCTCTCTATTGAGCTTAACTTACCACAACTGTGTTGGTGATGAAGATCTAGTAGTTGCAATTGATGCTCCTAAACTTGAGTATCTCAAGCTCCATGATTTTGAAACTTGCAGTTTTGTAATAGAGTCTCCGGGTTCCCTTGTTAAACTGGATATTGATATCTCGTTTGACTTGTCTAGTGGAGAGGAATTCAATCAAAATGATCTACCAAAGATAAATATGATTCGTAATTTTCTCATCGGGATTTTAAGTGTCAAAGTTTTGAAAATCTCTTTGCGAACTCTTGAGGTAACATATGTCGAATTCTTAAGGTTATATCATATAAGATTTACCTGTGAAATATGTTATTATATAACACACTTCCTTTGATACTTTTTTCCTTGCAGGTGATTTCTACTTACTCGAAATGTGAACAAGTACCTTTATTCTGTAACCTATCTTTCTTGCATGTTGACTTCAACAATTACAGATGGGACGTGTCACCAATATTTCTTGAGAGCTGCTCGAACCTAAAATCTCTCTTCTTGGTTAGGATTGTTCACCGAATCTATAAACTTACTTTCATATTAATGGAAAATGATGAATACTCAAGTGGTTTCGTCCTACTTGCAGGTTTTTAGTAAACTTCACAAGGTGGAGGGAGTTGGTACTGTGCCTGAACCTAGGCAGCTCTTAACATCTCTGGAGTATGTTAAGATTGTTAAGCCGATGTTAGAGGAACCGACGCATATGAAACTAGTGAGTTACTTTCTTGAGAACTCACCAATCCTCAAGAAATTCACTTTCGTCTTGGGTGGTTTCATATTGAATGAAGAATCAGTCATCCTCAAGAAACTCCTTGCCATCCCAAGACTCTCTAGCTCATGCGAGTTTTCCTTCTTCGAGTACGGTAGAACCTCTAGAAATTAATACTCGGTCGAATTTTGATTCATGTTGTAGACAATTTCTCTATGTGTTAGTTTGATTCACTTTTATTCTTTTCAATAATCTTAGATTGACCATCTCTATTTATATATACTACCAAAAGAATTTTTCATAAGTGAATGCACAGATAAATTTAACATACCAAACTGTTTTTAAAAAAAATTTAAGCGGGAATTTTCTAACACTAATAACAAAAGAGATCATAGACGGGAGTCATATCAGGTTCGAAGATTCCGAAGCTCTGCTCCACCGGACCTTGCTTCTGATTCTCCTTGAACATCGCAAACAAAAACACATCCACCGTCGTCTCCGGCCGGCGAGGTGTCCGCATCGGTGTAGATCCACCACATGTACTAAGAATCCCCAAATTGTAAGCCATCGCGTTATCGACGCTCGTGTACGGTGGATTTCCTTCCGTCGGCCATCCAGTTTCCGCCACCGTAACCACCACGTTTCCGGCGTTGATTTTCTCCAACGCCGCGTTGAATGCATCAATCATCGCCGCGAACATGTTGTTATACTCCAAATCACCGTCGACCACAACCGGTGTCTCTGATTTAAAAACCGAGTAATCGAGTGAGATTTGTTCTGGATCTGATGCGTATGCGAAGTATGGGTATATATTCGCCATTAGAGGCGAATTCGTTTCGGATAGAATCCACGAAATCTCCGTCATGGTTTCGGTCAGATCCGGGAGGAAATTCGAAGCGGAAGGTGGATACGAATTCTCCAAAACGTTCATCGAAACAACCGTCGTGACGGCGATTCCTGTAACGCCGGAATTTGATAACGCGGCGTTTACGTTTCGAATCGCGGCGGCGACGAAGGGGGCGATTTCTCCGGGGAAAACTTCGTTACCGATCGTGATCCATTTAATGTCGACGTCGTTTAGGTGTGGTAGGATCCAGATGGCGACGAAATCGGTTGCGGCGGCTGGATCTTGAGCTAGAGTTTCGATTTCTTCGTTTCGAGGACCAAACGCGACGGAGAGACCAGAGCCACGAAGCGCGTCGAGCATATCGGGGAATGGCTCGTACATACGAATCGCTTCGATATTGTTGCTTTTGTAAAAGGCTACTGTGTCTTCTGGCGACGGGAGATTGTCGCCGTTCCGGCCGTAACAAACTCCGGTGATGTCCCCTGCTACACCTAGAAGAAAGCAGGAAATAAACCAACCCGGTTTATGAATTAAATTGATTGGGGTAGGATTAAACCGAGTAAAACACGGGCACGAAATCAGATTAAGATTTAACCGGACAAGGAAGGAAACAAATATTTAATAACCGGGCCGTGCTCGGTTCTAGTTTGGTTTAAAATTACAAAGTGGAGGGAGGAAGACTGAACCGGACCTAATTGGTTTTTACCAGCTGGGTCAAGGATTTGGATGGACAAGAGCGTTAAGACAATAGCAGCTAAACCGGCCGGTTTGGAATTCATTGATTCTCGTGTGTTTCGTGTTGTGTGTAAAAGAACTAGTTAGTGATAATGATTATGATCCTCTTTACCTTTGTGTTGTATGTGTGAAGATGTTTGTGTTTATGTTGGTGAATGTGGAATGTATTTAAAGGTAGTTTTAGTAAGCATGCGTTACTACTTAATGACATTTGATTGTGAATATCACGAATATAATCAAGGTTCTAAAGCATGTATTGCAGCATTCAAATAACTAAACAGGATGATTAGTACAATGTATAACAAGATATTCATCATTTCCACAAATTTGGAGGTTCCAAAATTGGCAAATCATTTATATACGGTAAATCTAACATTTCATAAAGAATGTTAAAAATAACGTAATACATGAATGAACAATAGAAATTACCTTAGCTCCATACATAGTTATGTATGCATTTAATAAGCCAACCAGATTCTTTTTAATCATCTAGATTAGCTATCTAATTTGATCTTAGAGCCAAAACATTCTAGTTTAATTAGTGGGCTCAAAGAGGGTCATTTTCATATTTATAAATAGCATGTACGTCACATGCAATTAATTCTTACATTCTCTTTCTTCTGCATCAATCAAAATCAATTTTTTTTTTTTGATTTTAATAATTAAAA